GGCTTGGCCCGGGCAAAGTGGGACCCTGGGCGATTGCGGGCCGCAGTAAAGAGAAGCTGGATGCACTAAAGAAGGAGCTTGGCCTGGACGTCGCCGTGCTTTCTGCGGACATTGCCAGCCCCAGCTCCCTTGACAAGGTCTGCGCCGGCACCACCGTGCTCATTTCGTGCGCCGGACCCTTTACACGGATTGGGATGCCCGTCGTGGAGGCCTGTGTACGCTGCCGAACGCACTACGTGGACTCGACGGGTGAGTATAATTTTGTCCGTCAGGTCATTGAACGGTTCCACGAGGAGGCGAAGAAACAGGGTGTTGCGCTGGTGTCCTGTTGCGCCTTTGACAGCGTTCCTGGGGACCTGGGCAACTACGCTGTGCGTCAAGGCCTTGGGGCACAAGTGGAGGAAGTAAAGGCGTTTTACCAGTTGTCGAGCCCCGGATTTTCGGGCGGTACGGCACGCTCTATCTTTGCGGTCACATGAGGCCTGCGGCCCGGCAGACAGGGACCCCTACAGCCTGCTCCCGAAGGATGCTCCGCGACCCCCCACAGCGCCCACGCGGAGAGGGGTGTGGTACGACGTCTCAGAGAGGAAACTGACGGGGCCGTTTGTGATGGCCGCCACCAACGAACGCGTGGTGCGTCGCACAAATGCCTTGCTTGGCTACGGCGGCACCTACGTGGAGGCGCAGGAGGGAACGATGGGAACCGTTGTCGGCGCAACTATTGCGGGGTATCTGACGGCGGCGGTGCTTGCTGTCCCCTTCCTCCGTCGCTACATCGCGGAGCACTGGCTGCCACCGGCGGGAACAGGCCCCACACAGTCGCAGAGGGAACTGTCGTGGTACAAGTGCGTCTTTGTCGCCGTCGATAAGTCCGGGAAGGTGCTGCGGCGCGTCATCCTCTCCGACACGCGCGACGGGTACACGGCAAGCGGCCTGTACATTGCGGAAGCGGCTCTCAGTGCGCTGCAGCGGGCCAAGGAAGGCACTCTTGGCGCCGGCGTCTTGACGCCCATGGCGGCCTTCGGCGACGTGCTGCTCCGCCGTGTTCAGCAGGCCGGCGTCGTCGTTGAGGTGATGGAGGCGGAGGCGCCGCCGGCGAGCACAACGACGCCCGCACAGTAAAAGCGTGTCGGAGCCCCTCGCCCAGCGGTAGTAAAATATCTCAAAGGATGTCTGGCTTGCGCGTCGCAACAGGGCACACTGCTGCGGGAATTTTCATCCTCCTTAAGCGTCTTGTTTGCGCGTTTACTGTCGAGTCTCACGAGAGAGAAACTAGAAGTTACTAAAGTTTCGTCCGCTTAGCTTTTTACACCCCCGTTTCTTATAGCTTGTTTGTTTATTTCGCGGAATTCGCGTGTTGCCGTGTGAGGGCAATGCATGGCAACGCTCCCCGGCTCTGGGATTCTCATCGCAATGGCGTAGCCACGCACGCGTGTGATACACCCGGCTGGGGCTGCGGCCGAAGAGACTGCGCCAGATGCGCCTGCACGGAAGTGAGGGCCAACAGAGTGCAGGGACGCCGCTCCCAGTGAGCTGCGGAGGGGACGAGGGCACCGTCCAATGACCCTGCACCTGGTGACTGTTAGACAGCCGGTCATGCAAATAATATATAGTACCGTGAAAAGAACAAACGAGCAAAAACACCGTCTGAGGGAATCTCGCAGTCAATACGGACCACATGCAACGACGATGGGCCTTCCCTCAGCGGCTGCTTGGCATTTGTTCCCTTTTAGGGAGCACATGAGCCCAGAAGACGGAGTGCAACACCCATGCAGTTCGTCCAGTGCGTACGCAGTGTGAGTGTGTGTGCCTTCCGCTACGCCCTCCTGTTGTTCTCAGCGGCGTGAAATCAATTTTAACGCATCCCTGGCACACACAAAAGCAATTCTTTCTTTCTTTGTACATATTTCTGTTCTTGCTCCAGATAAGCTCTCTGCTGCGAATACAGCTATTCTCAGCAAACCAACACACCCACACTCTCTTTTCTCACACCATGCGCCGTCGCCTCCGCGCCATGCCACTTCTTCCACTGGCGGTGCTTCTGTTGCTGCTGACGGTGCACTGCGCCGGTGGGTGCCTCGCCGCTGCGCACCGCTGTGCGTTCGACGAGATGTTGCACAACGGCGACTCGCCCCCGGCTGCGGTGGTGCGTGAGGTGCCGCGCAAGGGGCAGGGTGCGGCGCAGGCGTACACCGTCGCAACGGCAGCGGCAGGAGCGAGCCAGGGCTGGGCGCCGATCCGCATCGAGGTGTCCACGGAGGATTTGAAAGACGAGACAAAGTACTGCACGAAGGAGGGGGAGAGCAAGCCCGACTTTAAGGGTGGCACTGAGGTTTGTGCAGAGACGTACATTCTGACCGCGGAAAGGAAGAGCGCCCTGGTGAACGAGGTCATCCCTGTGGCTGTCCAGCTGCACGCGGAGCGTCTGCTCGTTCAGCGGGTGGAGGGCCCGTTGGTTGTTCCCCAGTTCACTGACACGCAGGGACGGTGCCAGTACTTCAAAGTCCCCGACGAGCATCAAACAACGGGAGTTGCCAATGCGGACATGGTGCTCTACGTGGCTGCCGGGGCGAGTGCCGAGACGTGGGCAGTTTCGTGTGCCGTTGGGTCAAATGGTCGTCCAATTGCCGGTGCGCTGCATCTCTCGCCTTCTCCACAGTTGTCCGTCATGCACTCTGCCCGCGCTGCTGCACATGCAATTGCCCATGCACTTGGCTTCGGCGTGGAGCAGATGACGAAGCTCGGCATGTTGGAGGACGTC